AGTCCTGCCAGGCAGGCAGTATAACCCAGGAAGCCCCAGGGGGCAGCAGTCAGCGAGGGGCTGCAGCCACCAGGGCACAACTTTCTGGGGCCAGCTGCAGCAGCGCAGGAGGGAGAGGGAGGGGAAAGGCAGGCAGCACAGCCCTCGCAGGCAAGCAGCAGCCATCCAGGGCTTTACCAGCCTGCTGCAGGTGCTGGTACACTGTGAGGGAGGGAGCAGGCAACCTCTCCATGTCCCCTCCCCTGCGCCTCACTATTCTCTCCCTCCCACCCTTTGTGTAGCATAGCTAACTATTAGGTATTAGTCATCTCTCCCGCCTCCCTTCTTCTTCACTTCTCTCTCCCCCTTTCAGTTCCTGTTGGGGCATCGCAGGGCTTCCCTTCCCCCACTTCCCTCCTGGACTGTGCCCAGCCCCAGGCTAAATGATAACCGGTAAGCTAGAACCAGTTATTACTGAGCTGATTGGTTAAATGATTAACCATTTAGCCATTCACATCCCTAAGTCCAGTATTGTTAAGTATCTTCACTGACCGCCTGCAAGATGGAACTGACTGAACACATCAGTAAAGTTGCAGATGACATGAACATGGCTGGATCAAGGATAGTATGATTCAAAATAAAATTCAATAAGGACAAGTGCACTTGGGATGGAACAGTCAAATGTATAATGTATAGTGGGAAAAAAATGATAAGCTGAAGTACTGTAGAAAAGGACCTGTGGAGTATATTAGACCAAAAGCTGGATGCGAGTCAGTAGTGTAATATTGTTGCAAAAATGGTTAATAGCATACTCAGATGTGTAAGTCCTTCACCATACTCTCCTAACAGGAGAGTAAATCATGTAACAGGTGTGTGGCATAAAACCCACTGAAAATAATTTGTTCACTGTATTTAGCACCAGTGAGACCTCACCTGGAACACTCCGTTCAGTTTTCAGAACCTTACCTCAAGAGAGAGGTAGACAAATTAGAGTCCAAAGAAAACTAATAAAAATCATTATTGGTCTAGAAAAAGCATGACAAGTGAGGAAAGGTTTGAAGAACTGTGACTATTTAAACTGGAGAATGGAAAAAGGAGGGATGAGGGGGAGGATTGATAACAAAGGGTAGATACAAAAAATGATGTTCATAAAGACAATGGCATGCCATTATTCCCCCTGGCCATGGAACAACTAATAAGTGGGCTTAAATTGCTATAAGTGAGATTTAGTGTGTATGTCAGTAAAGAGTGTTTATTTATTAAATACAAGAGTGATTAAGCAGTGGAACAAAATACCTACAAGTGTTGTAGAAGCTCCATCATTAGAAGTTTTTAAAGTACAGGTTAGACAAATTTAAAGCATTTTAAATGTTTTAAATATTTTGTCATTAAAGTACTGACGTTTAAGATCAAATTCGTAATTTTGGATGAGTGTAAAACAGACATACAGTAGTACTGAATGAACAGGAATAAATAACAAATATCATGGGCCTTCTCATAGTCTATTGAACATTTATTTAAAGTATAAAAACATCTCACACTGTCACAAATAAATGGTTTTTTTAAGAGGTACTCATGGAAATAGAGAGGTTGATGGTCAAAACAAACATGTTTGTGAAGTTTTATTAGGGTTACATGCATTATGCCTGGCTGGAAGAATAGTCATTCAATCTCAAGAAAAATAATGCCCATTTCCCAAACTTAAAAAATGTAAGTAGGTATATAAAAGTTTCAAATTATATTTCTCAATAAGAGTACCCTGCATTATTTTACAAATCTGCAACCCACAAAGGCCAAAAATATAATTTTACATGATATAAAAGCTATCATGCTGGAACACTAAATTCAACAGATATTGTTACAACGGTGTTACAAGTTCCCTTTAAACAGTCATAAAGGCACTTAAAATGACATTTCTTTTTGGCTCAGACCAACATGGCTACCACACACATCCCTGAAACATAGAAGATGCTGAATTTTAGCTGATTCTGGATTATAAACTTCATTGCTGAGCAACAAGAAACATTTCTATACCTCCCTGCCTGCCATCTGACACCAACAAGGGGGAAATTCAGCTTGATCTACACAACAAAGAGCAAGCTCACGAAGACACTCTCATGGACTCAGAGGGACAGTTTTCCAGCTTCTGCTTCCTCTGTACAAAAATGAAGTTTATTGCCTACATATGGGGACTTTTTACCATCTTGAACTTTCCCTGAGCCTGATGAAGGGTGCATGAGCCCGAAAGCTTGCAGAAAAAGATTTTTTTTGCAATTTCTCAGTTGGTCTAATAAAAGGTATTATTTTGGAGCCAAGAGTTCTAGATTTTTGCATTTTTTTTGTCTCAGACCAATGCAGGTACCAAATGCATTCCTTAAAATGGGAGCATTCACCCGTTAAAGGGTGTCAATCCAGGCTAAGCATCCTCTAAATGTTTTAAAATTATGCCACTTCAAGAAACGGTTATTTTTGATCTGTTGGACCCAAGTCATTCCAGAGTATTATTAGCCTGCCCTCTAGGGAATGATGTAGTACAGGAGTTAGTAAACTAATCTCTCCTCTCTGGGAGTCTAGGATTACCACCTGGCTTGGTCCATAAATGAACTAAGTTTGATTGTTTTACAGTTCATTTGTTAGTACCATACATAAACCCACAGAAGAACTAGCTTTTTTTTTTTTTTTTTACTGAGGAGACTATGGCTTGGACCATGGGTTTGTCACAGTTGAGGTAATAAGTTAAATGTTAACTGTACCACAAAATTCACATTGCAGTTGTGTATATCATGCTTGATGCTATCAAGTAATAGAGTCCATCACTGGACTAAGAATCTGGAATTCATGACATCTGCAGCACAGTCTGAAGCAGGTCAATAAAGGAGAGAGAGAGAGAGCACACAGTAGAGCATCGTTCCTAGCAGAATTCTCAAAGCAAACAATTTAAAGCAATCAACAGATTAAGCATCCCCATCCCCTACTTCTGCTGTATTTATGTTTTCCCAGGGTATTTCTATATTCCTAGCTTCATTATTATTCCAAACTTTCACTCTGGCATGATAAAGCAGTTCATATTCAGTACATCAAAAAGGGAGAGAAGCAACACAAGTTGTATTCAGGGATGTCACACTATATAAATAGCCCCCAGGAAAAGAGAGAACATAAGCTCTACTGTGCTGTAAGCATTGCACGGCCATAAATACCCAAGTGCTAACAGCAGAAAAGCAACAGAAATAAATAATTTCATATTTAAAAGAACACATCTAAGTTACATTTATTATAGTGGGAGGATGTGAAGTTGGGCAGGGGGAAGTAGAGGTGCACCTCCCACCTATTACCAATTTACAAAATTGGCTCGGTGCACCATTATTAAATATAACCAAGCTCAACGAGCCCAGTCAGGATTGGGGTTTCACAAAAGGCAGTTGCTGCCCTAATGATTTGAATACACCACCTCAGAGCATGAGAGCAAGGCAAACATGGTAGGTAAGGGAGGAATGAGAGATGAACAGCAGTAATATGAACACAAGGCTTCAGACCTGAAACATACCCAAGGGTTTTGGGTTTTTTTAAGCAATATATCCTTCTCATAGTATCCCTAGGTTTAGGACTTTTAAGTCCTTCTAGACAGAATAGGAATCTTCAATGATCCTCACTTACATTCATTTCAGTGAAGTGCTATGTAAAAATTGCAAAGGTCTGCAATGGAATCAATACAGTTTTGTAAAAAAAAAAAAAAAAAGTTTCACTTACAGCCAGAATTTCCATGCGTTTACAGGCATCCAGGAACGGAAACTAAAATAGTTCTTTTTTGCTCTTTTAAACTAACATAATGGGATCTGACTTTATGGCTGGGACTCCTAAGCACAACCACATCACAAGTAAATATATATACAATGACATTACAAGAAACAAGGATGTGAAAGAGGAGGAAAGGTATGACTAAGATTATTCAAAACTTTTTGTATATGATACAATGCATTTAAATGATTATCATTCTTGACGATGGACTTCTTTTTAAAATGCAACATTATTGCGTTTCCAGTTAAGCACAAGAGTTTACAATAAACATGCTGCAAGACATCCAGCAGGTTCTGTAGCAAAACCAAGGAAAATTGGACTGTACATTCATCATGTTTCTAAGATTAATTAAAGAAGTTCTTAAAAAATATAATCTTTTAGACCTTATTTATCCATAATAAAATAGCAAAGAGAGAGCACAATACCAGTTTGTAAAACTTTCTTTGCCTTTTTTAGCTAAAATCTGACAAACAAAAAGATAAGGCATCTAGAAAATTTCATATAACTTTAGTCAGTCATTTTCCTTTAATTAAAAGCATTAAAAACATCCATTCTTAATGACTTTTTTTCAGGAACCTTGAAGAAAACAAATAATTTGTTTTAAAACTGCCATGGACTTAATTTTCAGCAAGAGAGCTGTCAGGTATTTCCTACATTTATAAATTTATTTTCCTGTAAATGCAATTAAAAAGGTTTGATATGTCTATTTCAATTGCCTGAAATGTATGCATTTCTCCAGTAATGTGGTTTAGAAATAAAATCAAGCTTTAAAAGCATGTTGGAAATATGTACACAACTTTCTATTCCTAAACATATCAAGATGCAGTGCTCAAACTATACAAAAAGCAGCTACATTTCAAAGTACATGACTATATACTGCATGTAAGAACATTCGGATAAATGCTCTGATTTATTTCAATATGTGGTAAGTCACAGCTCTCCTTCAAATAAAGTCAAAGCAAAACCTAGCACTAAAGGAAATTCAGGGCAGAGAACTACAAAAGTTAGGAAATTCAAAGTCATGGCTCCCATGGAACCTGTCATGGTGCAGTTACATGCAAAATGCATGAGTAAATCAAAGTTGCCAACTGGTTTAAAGTTTCAATCCCAATATATTAATAGGAGATTCAGTACTTGCAATACATGATAGTTAAGGGCAAGGATAGCTAAAAATGTAATGATTAAAGAGTAATGACTTCAAAGTAAAATCTTAACATTACACTTACTTGGTATGTCCCTGAGCAACTGCTGAACACAAAGGTGTAAAGCCATTTTTATCAGCAGCATCAATTTGTGCTTCTGCAGTCAGCAGCAATCTCACACAATCTATTAATTAAACATAAACATAGCTTGATAAAACAAAAATCAAATGATAAAACTAGATAATTTGAGATTATTTTACATTTTTTAAAATTTCCATAGGGTGTCATTTTGAAGCACTGTGGTATGATTCCTATGGATGCCTTGACAACTGACCTACATTTGGAAACTCCAAAGTACTTTTTCCTAAAATAAGATGTGAAATGAAAAAAAACCTAGATGCCTCACTCTGTAACTAAATTACTATTTAAAATAACATTTGAATATTAAATACATAACCGTATTGTTTTTTGATCCAAAGAAGAATGGAACATTATCTAACCCAGCAAAATTTAAGAAAGACATTATTCTACTAAAAGTAGATTTTCATTAGTCTGCAGCCAATTACAAGGAAGTTTTTCATAGCTGAAGTTCTAGGTAGAACTTCAGATTTAAACTCCTATTTTGAATAGCCAACATACTCTAATTCAAAGTTAGGATTCATGTAAAATCCTGGATCTAAACTCTTTGTGAAGTCTACAAATACTCATTTCTAAAACTGATGAGGTAAATGACATGTTATCAACAATCACAATTTTCAAATATGTAGGCTCCTAAATAAGTTGTGTGTGTGTTTCAAAGATGCCAAGAATGCAAAAGCTTTACTCAGTTCATATATATAACTAGATATATGAGAAACCTTCATATTATTCATTTAAATAGATATTTGTAATATATACATTAAATGAATATTATGAAATCTTTTATGCCAATTCTTCCCCAAAATACTTCTAACATAAATCAGAAGTGATGAAAAAATTGCTCTCCTTGACCAGTTCTCAGAATCTTGGCCAGCATGCTTTCTGATTCTTCCCAAAGTACTTGACAGATATTACAGCAAAACTGATACAGAAATGCACAAAATAGAATCAGTTATCTGAAAACAAAGTACAGTAAATGAATATAAATGCACAGTTGACGCAACAGGATAGTCTATTCCTCTAATCTCCCACTTAGTTATCTATCTTACTGTTTTATTATTTTTTTCTTGCTGACACCAGAATCTGAACAGCTGGCATTACTTACCCAATGTTGACCCCTGGATGAATTAGCTCAATGATGCATGACACATTTTGTGTTTAAAAGCAGAAGACCCTTTTCCAAGTGTAATAGTTTGAATTAGTTGTTGCCTTGCTAGCAGGTCAGACCAAGAAGGTAGAAAAATCTATTTGCTTATCTCTGACAGCCCAGTGGTTAAGATCACATGAAATCAACAGTTAATTTCTCAATATTAATTTTAACTTCTCAGTATTCATTTATTCATTTCACAATAGTCATTCATGTAATATTCTCTTACAAAGGAAGAGTTTAATATACACTTTGAGGCAAGAATTATCATCATATATCCCTAAAAACTGGGGAAAACCAATACATGGGAAATAGAAAAAAGCAGCTGCAAACTAGGGCTGTGACAAACAGCACTGTTCCATTTTGACTACCGTTTCGATCGGACAGTGTTTTGTTTCAACTTTCATTTAGTTTCAAAACCACTGTTCCGTTTCGTTGAAACTTTCGTTGTTTTGATGTTTCGCCTATAGGCTACAATGGGGCAGCATGAAACCACCTGTAACTTTGTCATTTCTCACCCAATTCAGATGAAACATGCAGGAACGGTAGCTCCTTCTGAAGCCACAAAGGCTGCCAAATTTCAGTTTCTGAGAAACTGCACCTCAGGCTGCTGACAAGCAAAACTCATGATGTGGGTGGGTGACACTGTGTGTGTGTTAAGACGCACCCTCATTGGTGCTGGGGCCTCTACATGACATGGTAGTGTTCCCCAATGAGGTCTCCTCCTCCCCTACAGCCTCAATCCAATCCACCACTTTAAATGACAACAGGTAATAAAATAACTTAGTGAGCAGCACAGTAGCATGAGCAGCATCTCAGGCAGCCAAACTGTGACAGAGCCTCTTTCCTGTCTTGCAAGAGCTTCTTCTCTAGCAGCTGCCAGAAAACTCTCCCTGCCAGCCCTAGCCCTGGGGCTTAGATGTGCCCAGGGCCCTACATCCTTCTGGTCAGGTGCTAGGGGTGTTGGTCTAAAGACATGGCACTGACAGACAAGGTACTTTCCTTTGGGTCAATCTAATCTGAATAGTTAGAGAAATATATCTTAGCAAGCTTTCAAGTTGAAAAAACCCTTTGTCAGGCTGAGGAAGCACCTGCAGTTGGTGTGTAGGTGTGCTGTTCCTGGATGGAAGGAATAATAAAGAAGCCAGAGGCTGGCGTGCAATGCAGATAAGAAAGCCAGTCAGTGTCAGATGTCCGGCAGGTTGTAGTGTGTCATATATCCAATGTCTATATTGAGTCCATGAGTTTGTTTCCCACAAGCGCTATCTCCTCAATGCTCTGGGTGATCTCGCTCGCACTTGCAATGCACCCCCCTTTTGGGCCACCTTTCCCCCACTGTTCCAGTGTGGCCTGCCATTGCTTTGGGGGGGGGGGGGGAGCGCGGGCGTTTGGGAAGGGGGACTTCCCTTTGGGCATGCTCCCACTGGTGCCAGGCTGAGGAGGAGCAAGGGCAAGAGGATGGTGCCTGCAGAGATGCGTCAGCATCCCCGTGGTGCTCATGTGTTTTGTTCCTTGGCCCCGGCTGGTTTTGGCTCAGCAGTGCAGGCAGATAGATGATCCCACATATACTGCCATGATGATCCCAGACCATACTACCTGCTTGCTTTTTGGGTGCAGGTGCATGTGTGGATGGTGCAATATCCCCCTCCTCAGCAGGCAGAGGCACAGCAACAGGAGGAGCGGATTCAGCTGAGCTGCTTGCCTCCGCAACCTCTACCTCAGCCTCCTATGAAGTGCCTTCTTGGGAAGGAGACCTGGCTCTAGGGGAAACTTGAAGGGTGTGGAGCACAAACTCAGATGATTCCCCCTGCTTCCTCAGAATTTCCCTTGCTAAGGCACTCAGATCCAGATCCAGCTCCAGCTATTCCTCTGGCACTGGAAGGCTCAGCATGGGAAGTGAAATGGGGGTGGAGGAGACTGTCATGGTGGTGGTGGTGGGGTATTATGGCTGGTGCTCTTGGAGGGGATTCAGTCTCAGGCATAGGCAGTGGCACTGACACTGCTCCCCTCTCCTTGCTGCTTCTGGAAGCCTCATCCCTGCTAGTTGTAGGAAAGAGGCCGAGTCTCAGCTGGGCGGGGGGAGGGGTGAAACTTACAACTCTCCCTCTACCCGCTCTTCTGCCCCTCCCTGAAGGCTTGTCAGCTGCTTTTCTACTGCACTTCATGGTACGTTTCATAGTGTCGTTTTTATAAAAATATATAAATGTATCTTCCTTCCCATATAAAAGCTATAAGATATGCATATGCCACAAGGTATAAATGTATAGAAATAAAATATAAATGCATCTCCCTTCCTATATAAATTCTATAGTGTAATAGCCAATATAATTATAAAATTGAAATGAATAAATCAATGAATATAATAATAAAATAAAAGGGTCTAGAAGAAAGCAAAAGGTATTGTAAAATCTCACTTGCTAGGCTAGCAAGTAGGAAATCATTCAAATCAATGCTAGTAGTAGCCTTTGTTGTCTAATGCTCCTGAGCTGCTGGAAGACAGCTCAATAACTGTCAGACTGTTAAGGCAGAAAAAGCAGGTCCGTTCAAACAATGCTGCTTTTTATGTTATGTTGTTTTTCCATCCCTCTCCCAAAGCACTGGGATTGGAAGGGACTTCAGGGAAGGATCACAGTCACTGGCCAGCAACACAGTCAATATGAGAGCAGTCCTTCCTCCCTCTTCCTCTCCTTAGTTTCTGTTTTCCTGCAGGCAAGCCCAGCTTGAACTTTGAAACTCGAAACATTTCAAAACATTTCGACTGCCCTTGTTTTGTTTCGAGGCTGTTTTGAAGCCCTTCATTTCATTTCGATTGTGCTATTTCAAGCTCAAAATGAGTCGAAACAGCATCGAAATAGCCAGCAAAATTTTGCACAGCCCGACTGCAAACTACATGTGCTACAAAATATCTTCGTTGGAGTTCTGAAAGCGGAACAGTCTATGAATAGGAATGATGTTATGTATAAAACTACTGTGAGTGTTCTCATTGTACATGCAACCAGGAGTTAGCCTTTTCCAGGGACCAGAGTCACAGCACAGAAGAGTGGCACTGTATGCCAGCAGTTTGTTGTTTACAGTCTGCACTATGTTTCATTAATTGACTTAACACCTAATGGACCTAATTTTAATTGACAATTGGTAGAAAGCCCTGAATATATCCTATAAAGTGTGTGTGTATGTGTGTGTGTCGGGGGGGGAGGGGGTAGTGGTGGTTATTGTTCAAGAACAACCAAAAGAGTTAAAGATGACAGATTTTGGCCCCAAAAGTTTCCAAATCACTTGAGCCATTCTAGCCCCGATCTAGAACATAGTATTCTTATTCATACGCTTAGGCTAAATACAAACATTCAAAAATCCCGAGGTAGAATCGATCTAAGATACGTGATTTTCTGAAAAGTGGAGGTAGTTCAGATCAGTAGCAAACAGAATACATGTATGCCCTTTGGGTGGGGGAGCAGGGGTGCGACAAAACTTAGATTGGGTTCTGCCATTTTAAAACTAGTCTGTGTGTTTCAAACTTCTGTTCTGTTATGAGTATAGATTGGTTTCCAATCACTTATACTGGTAAAAGTGTAATGTCTGTACCTGGCCTTTAAAAGGAGGAAATAGAATAGTTACAGCTGTATTGAACTCACAGGTTAGATCCTTTATTAGGGAGAGGGGAAAAAGCTATAAAAGACAACAACCTACCACTGAACATCCAAATCAACCCAATCAACAATTTTTTCACCTAAAAATCGTGACTTAACATTTTCCTCCTCCTCCGATTCAATATCAGCCCTATTATTAGTGTGTTAAGTGAGACAGTTAAAGGGTTTTCTAGTGTGTTTTATCTTTATACTTTCGCTTTCAAACCTATTAGAAGGTATCAAGATAAAGAAAAGATAGTTTTGAAAAGTTTAATTTATACAAATGTTTGGACTTAATGCAACTTAAAAATCACAACTATATCTTTATTTAAACATTGACATTTTTGTGCCACCAACTGTAAAATTAGGATTTTTTTCCAGTGGTCTCAAGTGGCATATACTGTCTTTTAAGAAAACATCAGCCAAATTACTGCCCTATTCATCTTATTTTACACAGGCTGTTTTGTATCTAAAGATATGGTGAAAATGTAACTCAATGAGTTACTAAATATTTTAAAATAAAGTTGTCTCTAAAAAGATGTCGAATGGAAACCACTGCATATATTCCTTATTTTACAAAATGGCATATATGCAACTACAACTTTTAAAAACTGTTGTTACAGCAGGTATTTAAAGGGATGATATCCCTACTGTCTGTGTGACTTGATTTGGTATTTCCAGGATAAAACAAGCAAATTCCTACTTAAGTCAATGGTTTCTGCTGGGTAGTTGGCATTTTTCAAAAAACAGACCATTTAGATGTCTAGATACAATTTTAGGAGTCCAGTAAAGCTTTTTTAAAATCAAAATTAGAACCATGTCACATAAATTTTAAATAGTGTATCAGGAATTTCTATTTCTGTCAATCACCTCCTTAAGAGCTCTACTACAAAATAAAAGCAGTAAGTAGAAATTAAATCCACTACACTTCTCCCCTCCCCTGAGATAAAATAGTAGCTTAAGGGAATCAGTTTACGTTTTGCCATTGATATCAACTGAATCAATCATTCAACTCTGATGTCTAAAGATAGGACAGGGTGGTTCACATTATATGTGGAGTTCTCAGGCAGAAGTCTACGTCAATACTGCAGGTTCAGTTTTTCTCTTCAGAACTGTAAAAGTGGCTATTAAGCAGACAAAGGCACTCACACTTACTAAAGCATCATTCTCAGTTTGGGGCAATGAACTGTTTTTATTCATTACTAATAAATCTGCACCATTTTGTAAACTTATCCAACAAAATGTTAACATAATCCAACATAATCCTTTTGTTTCATTTTTATTTAGTAGAAACAGAGTTAACAAACATCTTAACATTACTTAAGCTCCAACAAAAGGGCTCTTAGATGAAGAAAAATGAATTCATTTCAGGCCAAATTTAAATGATTTCATATAGAGTATTTTGATTTTCTGGCATCATGCCTGTCTGTATAAGTAGGGCACGAACTTAATGCATGATCAAATACTTTTGAAACAACTTCACATCTCAGTTTTGGCTTTCCTTCTTTAGAAAAAGAAAAGTATGCAAACTAATTTGATACAGAAAATAAAATCCAAAATAATGGGGAAAAAAACCTGCTTCAAATAAGTTTATACCAAATGATATTTTGGTCAAGCTTATAATTATATGGAAATTCTTACTGATAGAATAACAGATCAAAAGCCCATATCCATTATCTTCACCAGGCTCCAGATTGGACACAAAGCAGATTTTATCAAGTTTTACATGCATCCATTACTTCAGGTAAGTGCCATAACAACAAAACTGTAATCACTTACCTGTATGTCCATTCATAGCAGCAGAATACAAGGCAGAATAGCCATCTTCACAGGAGTAATTAATGTCCAGTCCTTCTTCATTAAGCAGCATTGATAATAAAGTGACATTTCCCTGGGCAGCAGCTTGGTGAAGAAGGGTGGGCCTGCCACCCAGGGGGACAGGACCACCACTCATTAACAAAGGGGTTAGGGAGGGAGACCAGCCTGCGAGTTAAAGCAATAGAAGTTAAGAGGGAAGACACTAACAAATTAAAGCTGTGCGATTCTCTGAGCTATTAAAATACAACCCCCCCAAACCACAAACAGGCTCTTCAACAGGATCCATTAGAGTTTAGCATGAGTTTTGCAATGTTATTTTTGTCCCTACATCTAAAGATAATTAAAATCACACACACAGTGGTGTCAAGTTATTTTCTTTGTTAACTCAAATTAATAGGATTTTATTATTATGGGTTAACAAAAACACACTTAGGGAAACATGAAACAGCTGCCACAGTCCAAATTTTCTGGCATACTCACTCCTAAAATTTAAAAGCTACTGAAAACATTATATAGGCTCTGGCCTTGGTTTTAATTATTTTATTTTCATTTGCAAATTGATTTCTCTTCAAAATCTTAATCTTAAACCTTACAATATTTCAATTTGAGTATCATGGCCAAATAGGACAGAAATGTAGTACAAATCGCTTCGGCTTTATTTAAAAATAAAGACTTGGTTTACTAAAAATTGCAGAAGTGTAGTTACTGTTGAACTGTCTCTTATTATACAATCTGATTTTACTCAAAAGATACTGCAATTTCGACTTAATTTTATGGAATGAACCAATGCTGAGTGAGTAGCTATTACATCAAAATTGTTAGCAAAAGCTTTCAAGTCATCCAACAAAAAGGATCTGCAAAACAGAGTTTTAAAAATCTTAGTTATCTTTGTTAGATGTTCCATGTATCATCACTTAGCAGCTTTAGAAGAGAGTTTGTTAAGAGCATGAAGTTTGCTGTATATAGTATGGAAGACTTTGTGAACTCTTCCTTGATCAAAAGACTGCAAAAGAAAATAGGAGAAAGGATTGAAAAAGGTGTTATTTTATTTATACATAAATATTTTACCCTTTGAAAATGAGAAATTCCATACCACTTTTCCTATCTGGATAGATTGTTCTAGAGGTTTGTGTACAGCTTCCAATCCCAAATATGATGCTGAAATTTGGAGTACTTTAATTGTTGTCAGAAGAACACACTATTAGGTTAATTTTAAAAGAAAATTTTACTACTAGTACATAGCCACAACAATGTATTTGTTTGCACTACTTCCCAATAATTTGTCAAATAACACATTTTTCTATATAGATAACACCCCAAAAATATCTCAAGACACAGGCATGTACCTGTATCATTTAAAGTTACCCTCTGTATATTACTTCTAACTGAATGGCAACTTTGAAGTTATTCAACATATTAATAGCTTTACTTTTAAAATTTCTTTAGACTAGGGTATAGTCTAAACAAGAAGCAATGAACACTAGACAAAAATTTAATTTATAAAAGCTGATTTCTTACATTTTTCTAGCTTGTTACTTTGTAAGCCTAGATGTGTTTGAACTGTTACAGTGTGTTATATTTTTGCTGAGTAACTTAAAGGTATTATCTGTCTTAACATTACAGGTCACTGTATTTTTAAATTCTGCTTCTTGAGTGTAACACTGCCTTAGAAATCAATTCTTTGTTTAAATGTGCTCTCTCATGTTAGGGATTAATTCTGTTTAAATTGGATCAACTTCTGGATATTTTGGGGGGATTTCAACACTTGACTATGAACACAAAATTCACTCTGTCAGTCCTTATGAAATATGACAAGTATTTCTAGGATTCTACTTCTGTTTAAAAGTAGTACATTTCAGCATAAGTAATAAAAATATAAGAAACAGGATGCTTATTTTAAGCTACTGGAAACAGACATCTGGTAGCTTTATTCTCATTTTCAACTGTTTGAAAGGGTAAATATACTGCTGCACTCAAATGATGAGATTCATTGTGCTAGATTAAGACTGGATGAAAAGCTTCTACTGCATAAGAAGTAAAAACCAAGTAATCATGTAAATAAATGCAAAATGTAACTTCCGTTATCACTGGGAAGCAGCATAATAGTTATATTTATCCAGGAAAATGCATAAATAGGGTTATAAAATGTCAATAAGGTATGTATTTTCATATGCAAAAGTTAGCAGATGTAATGCATCTATGAAAGCTTGCAAGACATGCAGTAATGAAGGGCAAAGATGTAGAAAACACAGCTTCTGGCATCAGCTTCAGAATGTGGAGATGGTTAATTTCAGAGCCTAGATCAATCTTCCCCATTTTCCCACCACCCTTTTATCTTCTAAGCCAATCGCATACAAAGGTAAAAAAACAAAAACAAAACAAAAAAAACCCCTAACAACTATAGAATGAACTGAATAAAAACATACTCTGATTGAAAAAAGATTTAAAAAGCACAAACCAAGGAGATGGAAGGAAGAAAGTCCAGGGGTATGGAAATTCAATTGTCTAGAATAATTTTTATGTTAAGCACATGCATCTATGGATATTTAGGATTTAAAAATTAGAGTAGAAACACTAAGCATTTACTGACACTTTTTATGTGCAACTTGTAAGCAACTGACAAAGTTTGGGTCCTTTTCTCACAAAGGAAGAGAACAAAGAGCAACAGTATGTTGTTGAACTGAAACAACTAGTTACCTGCTTTAAACTGGATTTATTACCTATCAAAAGTAGAACCAAAATACTTCATTAGAAAATGACACTACATGTAGCATTATTTTAAGAAACATGGTGGCCTTACAAAGAACTGAATCCATTAGTGCCATTAATGAAAAAATAGTGATTATATTCTCTATAAATCCTCCTGAATCCATATTAAAAGGGAACAGACTAGCAAGAAATCATCACAATTCAAAACCATTGATGTATGTTAATATGTTAATTTGGTTTGCAATATTTTTAAAGAATACTAACAAATTCTGATTGGGGTACATTGTTACTTACTATACCAGGGCTGTCCAATTGGGTTAGGTACTGACATTCAAAAATCCTGAGGTATAATCGATCTAAGTTATGTGGTTTTCTGTAAGCAGTGTAGTTTAGATTTGTGGCCTGCAAAGGGCACACATGTGGCCTGCAGGCCCTTGCAGTCACCTCTCCCATTGCCACAGAGCTTCAGGAGGGCCGGGGAGGGGACCACATGTCATTCATGCACCCCACACACCTCTAATGCAGCCTGTGTAGAAGGGGAGGGAGATTTGGGAGGAAATGAGGGCTGGGATTCCCCGGGCTCAGCCCCGCAGCACATGGCCCAGAGGCTGCAGCCCCTGGCTGAACTGAAGTTGTACAGTCCTTTACTATTCAATAACATACAAACAAGATTCAGTATGCTTATTTTTAAGCTCATGATAAAATCTTGTTAATACAAACTGAAACACTAAGCATTCTATGGGAAAATTAAAAGACTGCACTTTCAAAGCAAGGATCATATCTACATGTCAAACAAATGTCATCTGATTTCTAAGAAGGAAATAATATGAACATATGCCAAGAAAATGATCCAAGGAGCCAGATATAGTATCATGCAGTTCGCATAAAGTGGTTCTCAATAAAGCATCGTATTTCAAACTGTCAGAATATATGTAGAGATGGCCTCTTTCCTATAGCAATTAGGAAAGATCACACAAATTGTAACCGATTTCTGTAATGATTTTGCCTTGTTTAAATAAAAACCATCAACAGCATGGAGACTAATTGACCCTGGATGCAAGTGGAGATTTGGAGAATACCAAACTACAGATGCAGGCAGAAATAATTTTGAGACATTTTTGAGTTGAATGGGCTTGGAAATGTTTAAAAAATGAACAGTTTCAGCCAGAGGGCATATGTACAGCCCTTGTAGTGCCCCTGACAGGAAGGTTTCAAAATTCTCCAGCCAGGGGATGCTACAGGAAGGCTGGGGAGAGCTCTCCAGCCCCAAGGATTCTCCAGCCTCAACCCTCCTATTTCTGCTGGAACAGGAAGGAGGTGGGGGCCGAGGTGCTAGAGAGCCTGGCACCAGTATCAGCAAAAACTACTTGACTTTGTTGCCAGAATTCTCACTCTCCAGTCCAAACTGCCTCTAAATCTCTGTCCCTCTCCCTGGAGGAGAAATGTATAGGGGAGATGCTGGAGAGCCCGGTACTCGTGGTGACAGCAGGCCCCCTGACAGCTGGAGTGTGCAGGACCAGAGAGTGGGATCTTGCGGCTGCATGGCCTGGCAGATTATCAGACATTATCATATTATCCTCCCTCTCCTGTGGAGTCAGTGGGGGGGGGGGGGGGGGGGGGGGGGCAGCGGGGGGGGGAGGGGGGGGGTGTCAGGAAGAAAACTGAGCACTGTGGGATTCTAGAGGACCTCACTGCAAGAGGTACTGTTTTGGAGTGTTCTAGCTACTGCTGGAGCATTTCAAAGGACATGTATGTTCGTACAGCTGGTCCTTTGAAAATTGCAATTGTTATTTCTGTCAGCACCCTAATTTAAGTAAGTTAGACACTGCTAATGGTAAAAATTGAGAAAAGCATGGAGGACAACTTTGAATATATGGACTATAACAGTATTGTTTGAGTCAAAGCATAAGAAGAATTTGAGGACTCTTTCAGAACTGAAGCTAATAGCACCAAAATTCATAACTATCTTCAATATTCCTGAATTTTGTGTGCATATACAGGGTCCCCAGCACTTAAGAGATTCTCCTGCCTGTGCTATTTGGGCTCCTGGCAGACATTAAAATAATAGCACAACAGGGATCTGAGGAATTGTATGCCCCAATAAACAATGTTTGAGATGGGGCATACAATCATGTGACTTCTGTGGCCAAGGCTATACCCTGCCTACTAGAGGGTGGGTTTGTTCTGGATCCCAAGACAGCCCAATCCTCACATGCAGCTAGCATTAGGATCGTCATAGAGCAGCCCCAGGTCTGAAAACCACCATGCAGCCTAATTGGGCTGCAACCATAGTGTTTTTCAGTCAGAAGCACAGGAAGCAGGGCTGGGAAGAGCCTCCCTGACCTGGATTCTGTTTCCCCAGCTTTTAAATCACAGCATATAGGGCTTAGCTGGGCTGCATGTGGGTGTTGAAAAGCTGAAGATATGGGGAAGAAGGGCCAGGGAGAGCCTTCTCGAACCCAGTTTCTGAACCACCAGGCTTTTAAACCACAGCATGTGCACCTTAGTGTAAGTGCAGTTTTTAGACCTGGGGCTGCCCTGATACCATTCAGACACTCAGCGGAGAGTTGTGTTGGCATAAGGAGCTCCTGGTCTTATGTTCAATTTAAGGCTCCATACCAGCCAGACACAAAGATATTCTACAATAGATGTGGACATTTTTGTGACTGGTTCGCCCTATGACATCACAAATTGAGATGCACATGTAGCAAGTCACAATATATGGTGTGCTTAACACCTTAATTGCACCGCAAGTGTAACATGTGCCACAGCCCTTAGGAAGGAAATGGGAGGACTGCATTTTCTGCATTGGAAGTGCTGACCTTTTCCAACAGGGGAATATTTGGAAAGAAAAATAGTGAAAGATTCTGTACTTGTTCCAAAGGTGAAGAAGGGCCCTGGTTCATAACATTTTAATCTCAAGGAAAACTTGAAGCTGGCAAGATGTCAAGGAAAGCATGAGTGACGAGGATGAGCCTCTTTGATGCATGCACCTGCTGTTGAGCTTGCCCCACACTCCAAAAATACAGTTAGATGCTAAACATGATGCTTATACTTCAGTTTTTTCTCAAGTTACCAATACTCTAGACTTCTTTGAGGAGGTAACTGCTTTATCTTCACTAAACGCTAAACATTTATGAAACAAATTAATTCCCATACTCCTGAAACTTGGAAAAATATACATGGAAATTTCAACTTTAGAAAAAGTAAACCAGTTTAAAGGGAAAAGATGTAAAAGAAAAATAAAGCAAGTGATAGCTTCAGGATAAAAAGCAGAGAACATTCTTAGAGGGAGACAGTTTGTAGTATAGCAATCCCTTTACCTGATGCTGTTACCAGGAGGCTGTCTGAATCACATGGTCTACAGGATGAAGCACTAACAGGGTTTATGGAGGAGCTACAGGCAATGGTGGTGGGAATGATAAAGGAACTTTCTGAACATGCAGGTTGGTTCAGTCCAGGGAATTGGGAAGGCCAGGAACCCACCTGAGATGTGGCAATGGCTGGTATGGCACAGCCTGCAGATGCCACAGATATATCTATAGTTGGTTTTGGTGGCAGCTGAGGTGAGGACTTAGAAATTATTTCCTCATTTATTACCCTGATTCCTTGGTGTGAAATGGAAAGAGGTGAAACCATGGTTTTGCTGTCAATTTTTACACCCGTATTTGGGGGTCGACTACTATCCATAATAACTTTAAGCTGCGGGTGTGGTGGAGAAGGAGTTTGTGAAAGCCCTGGCTTTTTAGGAGGAATAGGTGGAGGATTTCCTCTGTCAATTCTTGATACATTGGGAGTCTTTAAACCTGTTCTACCAACTGGAGGATAGGTGCCAACTTCCATTGAATGTTGGATTCCAGGACGCAGAGTAGCAGTACTCTGAGGACTTGTAAATCTTGAAAGAACTTGGGTAACAGTATTCCGAGCTAGCTGTTTGGCAACTAAGTTGTCACGACTAGTTGGGGATACATCCCTTGGAGGGCTTTGAGTAGTGTTTCCATTTTGGTCTTGATCATTAGCGTTGGCTTGAAATCTAAATCTAGCTGCTTGGATTCGTGGATTTAGACCGGGAGGCACAGTAGTGTTGGCAGATGGTGACTGTAAACCATGCACTGATGAAGTTAACGAGTAGTTTTGAGATGCCATACTTGATGGTGACATGATGGAAAGAGGAGCATTATTTGGGAAAGGGGGAGTACTACTTGTTAAATCGGGTGATGAATCACTACTTGGTCCATTTTCCTCGATTCTATTTGCACTCTGAGTTAGAACAGGAGTTGTGGGGGGAACAATCAGTTCACTATAGGAAGACTGCCTATCAATGACTGGTTTCACAAATGCTGCATTGGAGCATACATTCATTTTTGTGCTACCAGAAACCAGAGGATTTACTGCTGAAGGCTTTGTGGGTACAGTCAAAGGCAGTTTCCTAACATTTTCAGAGCTAAGGTCCATCAGCATTGTATCTGTCTGACAGGCAACAGTTCTAGAAGTTGGTCCTTCTGTTTCAACAGATACAGAAACAAAACTCCTATCTTTACTTCTATGGGTGTGAGAAAGTTTGGGTTTACCGTTATTTTCCTTTTTCAACTGTTCGATCATTTTTTTCATTTTCTCTCTCTCTTCTTTGAGGTCACTGGTTTGTGCTTCTTCTCTGTTAAGTTTGGCACGCAATTGCTCTCTTTCTGTGTCAAAATCAGAGAGCTGTTTTTCCATTTGAGCTTCCATCTGTGTACTTCTTTGTTTCTCAGCTGCAAGGGATTCCTCCAATTCATTAGCCTTTTTCTTTTCCTCTTCAAATTTTGACATTAATTCTTCCAGTTTTTGTGCTTCCTCTACTATTTTGCCAGACAGCTGCTTACATTCTTTCACTAGCATCAAAACTACATGCTTATTCTTGCCACGTTCTTCTTCAAGACGAGCAGATAACTTCTTGTGCTCCAGCTCAAGATTCTGTAACTGAGACTTTTCCATTTCCAACTGTAAGAAAATATACAGATAAATCATCATTAACAAAACACAGGTTTTCAACATAGCATTACATAAATATGACACTGACATTTCAACCTATAAAAATATGCTGGATTGTTTAAGTAATTGCAGTATTCTGTCATTTGATACAAAAATAAATGTTGGACTGTTTTCTTACTTGTCAAGAAGGCTAGGGACAGACATTACACATAAACCAGTTTAAGTGATCAGAAACTGGTTTAAACCTGTAACAGAACAGATGTTCAGTGCACATAAACCAATTTGAAAATTGCTGAAATTGGTATGAGATAAACCTGGATGAATGTAGTATCAGACTTAACTGATTGGCTCAAACCGGTTTATGCAATGTCTGTCCCAGACCCCTTGCTGGTTTAAGATAAACCAGACACCCCCAGCATCCTGGCATGGTTTCTGGGCTGGGTGGGGCTCTCTGCTCCACAGCAGGGCTGGCCCCTCCCCTCTGCTCTGCTCTCTGGCTACAGCTCCTCCCTCACCACTCCCTGCTAAGCAGGAATTCCCCCCTCACCTCTGCCTTGCTGAGGAGGTGTATGTGTATTAGCTAGCAAACCACATGCTGACTATGGTCCTTGCTGAGTCAACAGGTAGAATCAACAGGCAGAATTAACAAGTAGCAGGGTAATGTCCCTTTGTTGTTTTCTTAATTGGGTGATAAACACTGTTATTAATTTCCTGCTGGGCAAATCACAGCCTGACAGAGCCTGGCCACGTCCCCCTCAGCTCCATGCTGTGGAAGGAAGGGAGGGCTGCTCTAGTGCCCCCTAGCTTCTAGCCTAAGCCACTGCAGGCATGTGCCTGCATTTCTGGGATGTCTGTCAAGTTACAAAACTGACTTAGCCTAGCCATGTTAGATTAACCTGCTAAAATTGAATCAATTTGGGTTCAGGCTTTTTGAATGTCTGTCTTTAGACAAAAAGGAGGGGGGGGATCTAAGTATAGGTCATTATTACTTGTAGTGACTTTCCAGAAAAAAATACAGTCAATCATATTTCTGTATAAAGCTAAGTCCAGAAAGTATTTCACATGATACCTGCCAGATACTGCTGCAATGATATACAGCATGATTTATACTTCAGGAAAATGCCCTAATTTATCGTTTTCAAAGCAAAATCTTTGTTTGGACCCTGTCTGCTGGGTTGCAAATGGCTCTCCAACTTACCCCCTGAGGTCCTCTGTAGAAAAAGTTACCAAATTTTTTAAAATTTATTTTTACTATATGCATTTGTTATCTCTTGTGTCCAATCCCAAATAATACAGCACAAGCTACGCAAATATGAAAAAGTATACTGTAGCTTTTTTTCCCCCTTTAGAAGTAGACTGTTTTTGCCACAGGTCATCTAGATTAGGAGTGTGCAAGTATTTTGCCTGAAGGGCAAACAGTGTGCAGCCCCAACTTGCTCTGCACCTGCTTTGTACTACCTAGTTGTGGCACATCCTGCCACCTCCTGGGCATGCAGCAGGGCTGGGGCAGCTCCTTCCAGCTGCCGCCACCGCTGACCCCAGCCCTGTGGTACTGGCAGGGATCTGTGTGCGCTGTCCCAACCCAGCACACCGCCGTGCCTGGTCTGGACTCACCTGTCCAGGCTTAGCAGTGGCAGCTGCCAGGCCAAAACTGTTGCTCGACACAGGGGAAAAGCCCCCTCCCCCTCGCCACTGCTGTGCAATTCTTGGTGCAGTCACCCAGAGCCTGTGCTGCTCAGGGCTGCCCCACAAGTCTGCTGCCATCACTGCTGCTCTAGGAAGCCCAGTGTGGCAGTGGTGACAGTGCAGAGCAGTCACAGGGCAGCTCAGGTGGCAGAGCTGCAGGGCAGCCCCGCATGTTGCGGGTTCCGGACAACTGAATCAAGAACTGCCCAGCAGTGGTGTGGGAAGGAGCTGTTTTCCCCCCGTGCTGAGCAATAGTTTCTGGCTGGCAGCTGCCGCTGCTGAGCCTGGATGTGCAAGTCCAGAGCAGGTGAGGGGCGTGACGGATCGAGGCTATGTGCACAGGTCCCCGTTGGCACTGCAGGTCTGGGGCCAGTGGCGGTGGCAGCTGGAAGGAGTCGCTGTTGCCTGGGTTGCTTAGAAAGGCAGTCTAGCCATGGAACTGCCCCAGCCCTGCTGCATGTCCAGGGGACAGCAGGATGCACCACAGTCAGGTGGCACCTGGGCCAGGCAGGACCAAGGGACCCACCGTGGGCTGGACAAAGTCCCTCCACAGGCTGGATCCAGCCTGCGGGCTGTATTTTACCCACCCCTAATCTAGACTGTGTCTCTGGTTAATACTGACAACTCATGTGGCTTCAGAGCCAGTCAGGACTGAGTGTCACTGTTTTAATTAATAAAAGTCCACTAGCCAATATAGTGACCATATTATTTCTAAGGAAATCTGGGACACTGCTCCCTCTTCTCCCCACAGCTAATCCCTGCCTCAGGCAGGAGGAGTGGTGCCCAGGTCAGCCCACACCCCCGTCTTCAGCCAATGGAGACGCTGGGGCAAGCAGTACGGGTGGGTTGGTGCCAATCTGGGACTTTTGATTCCATTTTCACCAACTGATGGGGACACTGGGAAAGCCTATGAAATATGAGGCTGTCCTGACCAAACCAGGACATATGGTCACCCTAACTATCAGTCAACTTTCCCCCTTTTTTACACTGGAGCAAAAACACATTTAGAAAGTTTAAAAAGAGATTAAATGCTGTCACTGCCTGTCTCAGGAGAAAGCCTGACTAAATGTTTCATAGTTTCATAGTTTCTAGGGTCGGAAGGGACCTGGGCAGATCATCTAGTCTGCCCCCCTGCCATGGCAGGAAAGAGTACTGGGGGTCAAATGACCCCAGCAAGATGGTCATCTAACCTCCTCTTAAAAACCCCCAGGGTGGGAACCTGCACTACCTCACTTGGAAGCTGGTTCCAGACCCTAGCCGCCCTGACCGTGAAGTAGCGCCTCCTGATGTCCAACTTAAACCTTCCCTCCGCCAGCTTGTGACTGTTATTCCTGGTCACTCCTGGCGGCGCTCAGGGGAACAGGGACTCCCCCAGTGCCTGTTGATCCCCCCTGACTAGTTTATAGCAGGCCACAAGATCCCCCCTCAGCCTTCTCTTCTGGAGGCTGAACAGGTTCAGGTCCCGTAACCTTTCCTCATAGGACCTGCCCTGCTGTCCCTTGATCATGCGAGTGGCCCTCCTCTGGACCCTCTCGATGCTGTCCACATCCCTCTTAAAGTGCACATCCCTCTTAAATGGATCAGTCCTAAATCCTGTCTATAAAGAATAACAAATTCAGGCTTTGTAGTATCAGCAGATGAAAGTATTCCAGGGTCAAAAAACCCACCACTGGGAATGATATGCTCAGTCCCAATCCAGTTCATATTTAGGGACTGGTAAACATGTCATCTGATTTCTGCTGCAACAAACTCTTAATGAGCTTGATTATACCCCTACTTAAGTCAGAAGGACCTGACTTCAGTGAGGTACAAGACTGAGCAAAAAGAAATCAGGTTTAAATTTCAGAAAGTTCTCTCTCCATGATATGATGCATTTCCTCATACAAACATCACCACTATTTTCACTGTTTTGCCTTCTGTGTTTCAGCCAAGTTGCTTTAAGATACTATCCTGGGGAAGCACTAGAAAAGCGGTGTAAATCCTCCTATTTTAGAAAGCATTTCATTTGCATATCAATGACACTAATGACTTGACATTTTCCTTAGGCAGCCTCATATATGTGTCAACTGCCTCACTCACCCCTGCTAGCATTTCCACTTGCTGCAAAAGTACCTGTGCATTTGAATGACTGGTTAACAAAAAAAATTTGTAAGACATACTTGACCAACACTAGGTCTGATAAGCTGCCCAGGAGACTGAAGTCAGAACATTAGTGATGACTCATACTATCTGTCACATGTTTGCAGAGAAATTAATATAAGGATTCAGGTGAGGGGTGGGCAATTATCTGGGCTGGAGGGCCATTTAATGACTTTTGGTAAGCTGTTGAGGGCTGTGCATGCACATCCCACACAAGGGTGCACACACACACGAGCTCCCCACAGCTGGGCTGGTGCTTACACCAGAGAAGCAGCAGAAGTAGGAGCTTCTCCCCACAGCCCAGCCAGGCACCACTAGGCCTTCTCTGGGCCCGGCCAGGCTCTCCATACCCTGGCTGCCAGCCTTGTCTGGCAGCTCCAGCATTAGTGTACCTGCCCTGCCCAGCTCATGGTGTCCTCTCCAGGGCCCTCCAGACACCTGATGCATAGGTCCTTGGAGCTGCAGCTGGGGATTCCCAGTCCCTTCCCCACCAGTAGAGCATGCATTGGTTGCTGGTGGGGCTCGGGCGACTGTTGCTCTGTTCCTGCACCCGAAAACTCTGCTTGGGCCATGCACTGACCCCATCACCCAGCTAGGTAGGTTCTGTGGGGAGGTGGGAAGGAGGCACAGGGCAGCTGGAGGATGCACAAGTTGCCCTACATCCAACTGATTCACTGGGAACCCTCAAACCCTCTCACTTCCCTGCTCCCCGTGCAGGCTCTGTGCCACTTGCAGCAGTGCCTTGACCAGGTCTAAGCAGCTGCTGGGCTGGGGTTCTGGGTTGGGTTCAGGCTCAAAGGACCCACCAGTGCCTCCAGCACCTGCACCACATGCTGCACCGGCCTGGTCACCACCTCTGGCCCAAAGCACTCCGACAGCCACTACAGCTCAGTGCCCAGCACCTCTGGCAAGCGGGACACGTGCTCCAGCACCAGATACTTGGCTGGTGTGTATCATAGCAACTCCCACATGCCCAGTTCTGACTCCCCACGGCTGCATGTGGGTTAAAGTTGCAGATGCAAAGACTCCAAGCAGGGATTGGCCAGGGTGGGGTGAGATGGGATGGTGGGGTGTTTGACTGGAGACATTGCACAGCCACATGGCACCTCTACCTTGCTGCCAGAAGCTGCCCAGGGCCATCTACCCAAAACTTATCTGCGGGCCAGATACAATCAATTGGCAGG